CTCATCTAAGGTTGACCCTGTCCATTGGAATGCCCTCGTGGCGGATTCAAATGAGGAACTCTCGATTGGGGTTGCCCTCTACCATTCGCCAGTGGATAGGGGAGGCTCCTCCTCTTCCTCCGTGCATTCTCTGGTGCCATGTCGGAGCTCCTCCTCTTTCGTGCAAGCCGACATAGACTCTTCCAAATCCGTTCCCACCCCGGTGGCCCCGCGAGGCTCTTGGAGCTCTGGGCCATCACCTCTGCCCCCACTCCTTCCTCCCGGCGATGGGTGCTGGTGCCGACACTGGCTAGCCCGCGACAACGGCTTTTCGAGTCGAACACATGGGCCTCGTCATGCGAGGCAGAGGGCACATGCCGAATCTAGCATGTCCGCCTGTAGGTCATGCAGATCCACATCAGTTATATTCCCCTGCCCTCCGACTCGAAAAAGGAGCTCGTTTGCAACGTCATCCCCCAGTCGTTGACCATGGCCGAGACAGACACCTGCCACCGCCGTCGCAAAAATGCCAAGGCATTGGGGCTCAAGCTCGAGGTGTCCGAGCGGCTAGCCAAGGACAAGGCCGCCAACACAGCGAAAGTTGTGCGGCTTGCCAAGGAGCATGCCCGCACTGCCCGACGTCTAGTGGGGCTCCCCTCCTCTTCCTCGTTTGTTGTCGGCACCACTAGTGACGACGACGATGATGCCCCTCCGGCCACCAACGCATATGGAAAGTAGTACTACCGCCACTCCAAAGACGCCAAGGGGAAGGGCCCGACAAGGAAGTGATGAACTCCAACGCCTTCGTAGTCATATTTTTCATAGACGTAGCTAGTTTAATGAACTATCTAATCTTTGTGAACTTGTTTTGTGTTTGTTGTAATGAACTTGCTATGTCCCATAATATCCTATGTGATAAAGTTAGGTTGTGTTGATCTACGTTGCATGTGACTGTATGGATTTGGAGGTTTGAATACGAGAGAGGCGGCTGCAGATGCAGACAAATGAGGAGTGAGCGGGCGCTATCCGTGGACGCGCTCGCGGACATATATGCACCCATATTAGGCAAGTCCGGTTGTAGATGCTCTTAGACTTGTTTTCCTTTGTATTTTTATGGCCGGCAGCGGACAGAAACCGAGAGGACTTCCCACCTGAATTTCGTAGGTTGGGTTGATTTTCGGACGGGAACGGTTTGGCCAATGTTTCGGGATGGAGGGGCCCCATTTTCTTTTGGATTTTAAGCTCTACTGGGGATATGTTAGAGTGTGTTAACTTAAAAAACAACGAGATTTTGGTAGTAAAGTTTTTTTTTGGATTGATTAGAGCTACAATACGTGGGACTAACTCCCGCTTCTCCATCAGAACCGCTCCATGTAGAAAATAGCGCTACTACAAAGATGTTCGGCA